GACTTGATCACGCGCTTTGTTCTGAACGACGGGCACCTTCCATGCTCGCCTAGACACTGAGCTGTTTTAAACCCATGCAGTAGTTGTCACCCTTATCTCAAGTTTATACATATTCAAACACATCAGTCAAACACGCTAGGCGCCTCAGATCGGGGAAGGAGGATGCGGAGAGAGAGAGAGAGAGAGAGAGGAAGAAGAAGAGGAGAGAGAAGAGGAGGAAGAGGAGAGAGAAGAGAGAAAGAGGAGAGAAGGGAGAGAGAGGAGAAGAGAAGAGAGAAGGAGGAGAGAGAGGAGAAGAGAGAGAGAGAGGAGAGAGAGAGAGAGAGAGAGAGAGAGAGAGAGAGAGAGAGAGAGGAGAGAGAGAGAGAGAGAGAGAGAGAGAGAGAGAGAGAGAGAGAGAGAGAGAGAGAGAGAGAGAGAGAGAGAGATCAAGGCGATCAAGGCGATCAAGGGTAGTCATCACCAATGGGCGCGCATTGGGACGTTTCCGGGCGTAAATGATGCTTACAACACTCACTCCAGCCACGCCCTTCGACGAACCGGCGAGTAGTCCCTATAAAGGCCAACAGGGTCTTCTTACAAGCTAGAATACTATTTTGATGTCCGCCGACGAAGGCCGTTTGTAGGTGAGTAGGAACCCTTGCAAGGCAAGTAATGAGTCGCTACAAGCTGGCAGGGTCTCTGAACGCCCATTCAATTCCTGCACGTCTAGCATGCTTTCTTTCATGCCTGGAGATAAATCCTTTAGGCTCATGATCTTGCCTAACGCCTAAAATGTTTTATTTCGTTTTAGAAACATTTAAATAGCACGAGAGGTACCATGCAGGCGTCTTACGCCACCCAGAACAATGTGTCTTGCGCTACCGAGCGTTTGGGGGTCCACCGGGGCTTTCAACCTTGGGAGGCTTCGTGCCAGAGTAGTCTGCCTGGTCAACAGGAGGTGGGGGCATGGCGACATTGCCCCCCCCCCCCCTTTGGCTACAACTGCGGCTGAACACTTCGGCAGCGCCACCCTAATCCTGCGCTCCTGCTTCAGAGCCTTGAATGAAACGAGAAGATTTCTGGCGTGAGGAGGTACGACCTAACGGCACACGAAACTACACCTGCTGTTCCGCACGACCACTGGGTACGGCGGGTCAGTCTAACCATCCATCAACAGGCGGCTGCCGGAAGCCTGGCGGGCGGGGAGCGGTGGATCAACAGACGCGCAGGTGTGGGTGTATGGCTGGACATGCGGATGGAAATGATTGCGGTTACAGAGCTCTCCCTGATGAATGTGGTACATCACAAGCGTCATCAGGCGGTTACCTACCTGATAAAATTTGTGACATGAGCTACGCGACTACGTCACAAACATACAGCTTGCATGAACATAAGGTAATGAAACGGACCTGAGAGGTTAAATCCAAGTAAAAAAAAATCCAAAAATGTGTCATAAGTAAAAAAGGTTTCATATCTATACAGCGACTGTAAGTAAACAAAGAACATAGACGTCTCATTCTGATCATCTAATGTGTGTGTGTGTGCCTTGCTGGATGTGTCGCAAGTGTGGCCTCCAGGTGCAGCCAACTAACTTAGGCTGCCGCAAGCAATTAGACGGATCTCTTTGGAACAGTAGCACTGTTTGACCAACTCAAGTATCACATTTCATTTTGTTTGCCAACTTTCCTTTTCCTGTATGTTTGGACTGCTTTCTACACATCGCTGTTTAATGAACATGACCTTCTAAATGTAACATTGGCTAAGTCAGAACGAACCGAAACATTAATATTGTCTTTGTCAATAACGTTAATTGACAATTTCGCGCCCCAATATAAATGGGGGTGAGCTGGAAGGCCGAACTTCAGTCAACCCTGATTTTTTGTCTACATGTGACATGAATATCCCGCAATTGTTTTTGGGCAGAGCCTCCAATTCGGCGGGCCTTTTTAGAGCAAAGGCTAGTGAGAAAATGGGCTTACAAATAATGCATACAACCACTTCTGATATCAGCATATCTCGCTTTATACGTGCCAACTACATTCACATGACATGTCAATGGTCCATAATCTATCATTATTACGAGATGACCAGGAGCGTTTGTGCCAATATGTGTGACGGAGGGGTATGCACATGTAACAAGCTGCATTTACCAAGTGTTGTGGATCCAGGCCGTGCTACAAAATATTTTAGGCACACAATAACAAAAAACATGGTGCAGTGCATCCCCTATGCCATCGGCTACGTGGAACCAGTAAAAATGGAAGTACAAGTTACTGAGCGGATGGTTATTATATTACGCGACAATGCCTCGAGCAAATTGACCCGATCTCATCCGATCAGGATGTCAAACACGCAATGCACCTGACTTGTAGCTAATTTCACTTGACTTCACTTCACTTGTAATGACTGGTGACTAATCCGTACGTAGAAAAAGGGTATCTGCAGTGGCGGCCGATCTCCCGGAGGCAGCAGGAGTAGTAGGTTTTAGATCGATTCGTGGTTTGATTTATACCCACAAATATACTTTTCACCAATCGCATATGGTACCCAATGCAATTCATTGCCTGCAAAAATGTGACTGACCGTAAACAAATCCCGTCACCGCGCATCTGCCCGTCCAATATCAAGTGTCACGCGCAGAAGTTACGGGTGTTCTTGGGACCTTTTTATGGACATTTTACACATGAATCTGTTCCAGTCAATTTGAATTTAGCATTATGTCAGATACAATTCCAATTTCGACAGTCACTGCTCTAATCTTTTCCCATCCAGTTTAGAAAACCCCACGTGCTGAAGAGCTCTAGCGTGGATAGCGGCGCCCGAGAGTGCAGAAGTGTGGGGAGCGTGGGGAGCATCTGACACCGGAAATGGAGCCCGGGAGGCGTGGGGAGCGGCGCTGCGCCGGCGGCCGGTGCCCTCGTCAGCGGGGTGCATCAGCTGCGGTCATCAGCGGCGAGGTACAACATTGCAGGCGGCCGGCTGACAGCTGAGACGAGCCATGTGTAGCCCCGGACCCGCCGGAATCTGGGTCTCCCAATGTAAACACACGGGCTGTGGCCGCGGCGGCCGGCGGCCGGCGGGCGGGGCCGCTACCCGCCCGCCCTCCGCGCGGCAGCCAGCACCAACTGTAGCTGGACCGGCGGCTGGTTCGACATGCCACTGTATTGACCAGTCTTATTAGTGCACGTTTTCCTCTATTTTGCAACTTATCCTTCCGTATGCATTGGTTTCCTACGGTATGAACTCGCCTGCCGGCCTGCAAACCATGTGCCAGGTGCTAAGTAATATGAAACAGGTATCATGGTTGAAACGCCCACTGTAAGCATAGCCATCGTCTCCTCAATATTCAACCATTAGCTCAAGAAGCAAGGCCAATACTGCGATGAGTCATGGGATACATCAGAGAAAAGCCATGCGTGCAAACTGCATCCACGTCCCTGCGCTGTTTTAGCAGCATGTGCTTTCATCTAGCGGAAATAACAACTACATTTATCTGACTTTATGAGCGTGAATAAGGTCTGTCAGGTCTAAGGCGGGTCAGGAACAAAAAGCAGCAAAAATGATGGCACACTTCGTCGAGCTGAAGATGCATATTTCATGACAGAGAGCGTCCCGACCATGCCGGACATATGGCCACTGGTGAACGTTACACCATGTAGTGACGTAGGATAAAAATGTGCCGCCATAACGGCGGCACGGCTTTATTCCCTCTTAGGATCAATCGCTGCGCATTTGAGTTGAAGTGTTGACATATCGCAAATCCAAAAACAGCGTATGCAGATATATATATATATATATATATATATATATATATATATATATATATATAGTATATATAGTTATATAAACGCAATAAAGCGCTAATGAATTGACCAGTTAAAATAACGTCACTTACATAAAACCGCACAGTTCTATCATTTGCCATTTTCTATGACAGGGTATGACTGGGCAGAATATTTTTGTGTTCAGGAGTATACCTACCAAAAAAACCTTCAGTTTTCGTTTACAGTTTGTCGATTTGTCTGGAGTCATATATGACACACCTTGAACTGACGTAATAAGTAAACATTTGATGGAATGACCCACCCTGGTATTCGACGTAGTTCTATAAATGTGCACTTATAGATATGAGATCTGTATTGCGTTCGTCCTCCAGCTGTTGTAGTGCGACTTCGTCACAAAGGTCTGGGCACCAAGCACGGTCTTGAGAAAATCCGAACGATTCGGCTATTTTAACGACAGTAAGTGTCAAAAACATGATTTTACGACCAGCAATGCTGAATATAAGAAATAGTCCACCCGCCTATTGCACTAAAAGAATACTGTGATATGTGGCGACGGTGGAAATAGCAAGGATGTCACGATGGCAGGAAAAGCAACAACGCACCATCATCCGCTTTTGTCGTGTTTGATTTTTTGACAGGATGCAGGCGAAGCAAAGCCGCATGGGGATGGGTATTTAGCCCGTCTCCAAGTCCTTCCCATCGCGTTTATCTTAATGTGATCACATGAGATAAAAATAAGCTTTTTTGAGCACGAGAGAATTTCTGAATGTTGTGAGTGTATTGCTAGCTTTTGATACGACGACAGTCTACTGTCACATGAAAAAGGATTCTGTGCTCTGTAGATATGGGTTAGGTGCTTACGAACATGGTTGAAAGTTCATAGGCGAAAACCCTTTTTCTTTTAGCTGTTTCAATGCTTATTGGTATTTTTAATGTTTTCGTAGCTACGCAAAGCTTGCAGGAACAGTGAGTAGGTCACGACCCTCCCCCCCCCTTTCCGCCACCTGCTCGCAGGCCTACGACCGAGGCGTAGGCCAAAGGTCTTAGGGGCTCCCCGAAGCACGCCGCAAACGTCATCTTTCGTAAAACTCCGCAGCATCGTTGCTAACACTCTTTAAGTACAGAACAAAAAGCTCGGTGTGATTTCAAACCGAGTCTGACCATAAACAGCAGCCAGCCTAGCAGTGGGTCGCGCCTGCAGCAGCGGGGGACGGCCGGGCACGACGGACTGACCTGACTGGGCGGAGGCGGGCGGCGGGCCGGGCGCGGCGGCCAGCAGCAGCAGCAGCAGCAGCGGGCGGTGGCGTCGCCGGGCCATGGCCCGGAGGCGGCTGCGGCGCGGACGGCCGGCTGCGCTGCCGCCGGGGCCGGCCGCGTCCGAGAGCGGCGTGGAGCGCGCTCGGCCGCTGACTGGGGCGGCCGGCCGCCGGCGCCGCCCAGCCGGCCGCCACTGCAGCCGCCGCCGCCGGCCGGCCCGCCGCCACGCCGCGCCGCAGGCCCGGCTTGCGGGCCTGCTAGCCGCAGGCTCTGGCTCGGTCTGTGGCACGGCTCACCGGTGGGAAGCCGCCAGCTCTGCTGGGGTGTCAGACCTGCGTGGCTCCGCCGGCGGGCGTACCTTCCCGACCATCGCAAGAGCATGACATTCGTCGTCTAAACGCACGCATTCGATCGTGCTGTGAGAAAACGAGTTACGTAGAAAAAGCTTATCGTACCGGAATAAACATATTTTCGACAGTGAAGCACCACTCTGTGTTGGCATAACGCATGTATATCAGTACAAAGCGCGTCGAAGGTAACTTGAAGTTGCTTGGTTTGACAATAAGACAAGTTAAGAACCGACAAAAAGACAAGAATAAGTTGTCAATAAAAATGTGAATGTGGAAGAGCTTATGTGGTGGAGACATGTGGAAGCTTGAAAACAAGAAGTGGTGGACACCAGAGAACGATAAAAAACCGCGGATATAAGCCATTCGGGCTTACTGAAAAAAACGTTCTGAACATAGGGTATCGCATCGCGTGGAAGGAGGGATAAATTTTTGATTGTGAGACAAACTGATGACACAGAAAGATTGAGGTATTTTCATTTCCAGAACGGCCAGTGACAAATGTTTGAGTACAAATCCGAGGGTACCGTTAGCGAGTGCGTATTACAACTTGAAATAAAAAGGCTGAAAAAGAACAGTTGGGTTGGGCGAAGTGTAATACGAAATACGATAGCGGGCTTCGGGTCCGGAAATTTCTACACGCGTGGGTTATCTTGTTTTTGTGTTGCGATATGCCGTATGCGTTGCTATGAATCGATTACGAGATGTGAAACTATATGCATTTTCGAGATGTATGCGCGTGTCAGTTATCACGTGACTTGGTAATGCTCAAAAGCGGTGTTTTGCCATCGTATCGAAATTGTCAATGCATTGCATATGTTTTTGGCAATGTTCTGCAATTTTCATCTGCGGCTAACATGACAAGCGAGTCATCCTACTTTCGTTACCTCAGAGGTTTGTTGATTGCATATTACTTTTAACTTTTGACTCTTTTTTCCAGAACGTGCTGAAATGTGTTTTCGAGAATAGCATTGTCTCATCATCATCAAGGCTGAAGAAGAGGTAGATATTATTCCGAGAGCTCTAGTTGAATAAAAGCCAGCTGTTCGGATCATCTTTTTACACGTAGAATATCTATGCTTCCTGTTGCTTTATCTGATAATCTGTCCAGAAGAACTTGAGACCCTTGAGAAGAACACTAGGGGTACATTGCCGTTCTCGGTCAAGGGCTGGAGGACTATTCTGTCCCACCGCGGAGTGTCTTCCGGTTGCCGTTCTGACGACACGGGGCGGGATCTCCTGGCCGATCTGGACGCCCTCAGAGGGATACATTATATCACACTGGTCCTCTCCCTGACGCAGAAGGCCTGCGAACCTGCGCGGTAGTTGACCCCGGATCGACGCAAAAACCCTCATTGGTGCAACAACATCCCTGATCTCCGCAGGTGGTCAATTAATTGGCATATATGCTCCAGTTCGGTTTAACGGGCCAGGCTGGAATTTGGTACTGGGCACTGGGTACTCGCACACCGTTTGGAACCGGGGTCCTTGACTGTTACAGAAGCCTTCCATCGCCTCAACTTTAAACAATCATAAGTGCTCATGTTTCTTTTCACTGTCATAGGGCCCCCGATCAACGCAAGAGACCCTTTTATTTGGGGTCCAGTCCCCCCACCTGTTGAGCAAATCTTTCCTGGCCGACTCGAGGCACCTCAGTGACACATAATATCCTGTTGGGCACTGTGGGCCCCTGAACGAAGCAGGAGCCCGTTCCCCCATTGTTGGAAGGACCACGATCAAAGGAAATCGCGGGTCTGGTCTTGTCCCTGCTTGAAAAATGGGCTCACAGAGCTCAGACCGGCACCCAGTCGATTGTTCGATGTTGATGATCTCTGGCCGAAATACAGACGCGCTCCGTTTCAGTTTACCCCAATTAGTGCAAGAGGCTACTTTACTGACATTTGAGATCACGGCCATATGGGCGGAGTTCTTAATGTGACAAGCCGCCAGCGCTCTGAGCTCTTCAGCCTTGACATCGAGCCTTTGATCCTCGATCTCAAGAAACCCTTCGGCCCCACTTCAGGTCTCCTCAAAGTCCTCTCCCAGCCGACTCGGGGCCACTTGCCGCCACAGGATGCCTGTTAGGCACTGCGGCCCCTGACTGACCCAGGAGCCGCTCATTTTTTAGGGACCCCGAATATTGCAAATCGCGGTCCCTGGCCTGGTCCCTGCTTGAGAAATGGGTCTCAAGTGCTCAGACGGACATAAAGCTGACTTCTTGGCTTCGTGTCGAGGCCCATATAATAAGGATGGAGAGCCCTGATAAGAGAACCCTAATAAAGTATTCTGACAGACATTTCAGGCCACGGCACTACGAAGCAAGGGCGCCGGGACTGATTCCAATCGGGCCTTTATGTCTTTGGTGCCGAGAGGTCCTCCGGATCCTTTTCGGACCTCCTCAAACAAACCCCGTGGCCAACTAAGGACAACTAGCTGACACATGACGCCTTGTCATGTTCTGTGGGCCCCTGACCGACACAGGGGCCTAAACCACTGTTTCAGGGATCCAGACCAGTGCAAATCGTAGCCCCCGGCCTCGCTCCTGCTTGTAAAACGGGCACCCAGAGTCCAGACTGACAGGAAGCCAACTGTTCGGTGTCCGTGGTCGCTGGCCGACTTAGACACCCACATTGTCTCAAATGGTCCTCAAGCGGTGCAAAAGGATATCTGCATAATATTTCAGGTCACGACCCTGCGGGACACGATTCTTTATATAACTTACAGTCAATCGTTCGTGCCCTTATGCCCGCCAATGGGGCCTTTAATAGTTAGTATCGTTGGGCCACCGGGATCCCACTTCTGGCACCATCGAACACTGCCCTTGGTAGGCTCTGGACCCCTTGCGAGCATAGGTCCCTCTATCTGGCGATGTGGGTCCTTGACAAATACAGGAGCCCAGGCCCATACCGACTGTGCGGTAATGGTGGTGCCTGACTGACAGATGGGCCCCTATCGACGCAGGGATCCCCGATCGGCGTAAAGGGTTCGATGACCGTCATTTAAGTGCCCGTCCTCGCAGGCCGCGGTCCCTAGACAAGACCGCGACCAGACCTTCGTGCCCCTAGACCCTCTAATCGGGCCCGTCATCGTCGGACTTGGTAGGCCCTCCAGGCTTTTCTGGCCTCCTCGAACACCACCTCTGGCCGATTCGGGGCCCCTTGCCAATACAGGGCCCCTTAGCGGCTGTGGGGCCTGACAGACAGTGGGACCCAGACCAATGTAAATCGCTGGCTCCGGCTTTGTCGCTACTTGGGAAATGGGTCCTCAGACCCATACCGTCACGTAGCCGACTGTGCACTACCGGTGGTGTCTGACCGATAATGGGCCCTTATCGACTTAGTGGGCCATTGGTCAATGTTCAGGGCCCTCTGGCTGGCATTGGAGTGCCCCCTACCCCTGTGGACTGGGGCCCTGAATACAACCTCCGGATGGCCTTTCGGGCCCTTCATCGTAGGTCCCGATGGGGCCTAAAGGCGCCTCGTAACCTAAGGGAGGCACGTGCCCCCTGCGCCCCCTCTGCCTGCGATACTGTTGGAGGGGGGGGGGGGGGGGGGTTCAGATGAACATCGGGGGCTCAAGTCAGCTTTGGGAAGGGGGGACTGAGCCCCTGAAAGAATACAAAGTGACACCCCTGAGGACAAACGCCACTGAAGGCTGAATCGGGCTGTCTAGTCAATGCCGTGTGCCCGGTGATATCGCCAGATAGTGCGCCTGGCGTACGTGCCAGGGCGGAATGGTGGCTGGGCTGCATCTAAACTGTTTTTCCCTGCAAATTGTGAAACGCATATCAGGTTTCTTAGATCTAAACCACTACCTAGCCTTGTGGATGCAACAAACCTCCAAGTAATTTGTTTACGTTGATGGTGGATTTATAAAAATTTAACGAAGAAGCAGCATCAAACCACTCATCCAGTCGCCACTCAAATTGAGGGCTTCAAATTTAACTGCGCCTGAACTTGACTTTATCGTCAGTTCTTGCGCTGCTGCGACGATAAGGAATTTTCGTAGGCGTTACCGATGCTGTGGCGTCCTTGAGCGTCGCATATTATTTGGGGCCAGTTTCCTTCGTTTCCCGTCGGCGTGTATGCAACTAGTGCTATTCTGCGCCTCGCAATCAAATGTAACACTGAGTAGTTCCACTTAGTGAGCTTTCTTTCAATGTAGGCAGAGCTTCTTCGTGAAAGCAGCATATCTCATTTTCCGTGGCCTGACGAATAATATTGGCTTTTGTCATGACTGGAAAGAGCTCTGAAGAAGGCAGCAGTCCAGCCCGTTCCAGTGGATCAAATACGGTAAGATAATTTAATGGACCTAAGATGCATATTGGGGTTAATTATTCAGTATTTCAGGGGTGTAGGTATACATTCCTACCTAACATTAGAAAAAATCACACCATTTGTCGTGTTTAAGGCGGAACATGTCAAATAATCTTAAAACAGGTAGATGCATGCTCCTACCTTCAAACTTTATATTTATGATAGTAAGCTCCCGAGCGCCGTACGCACCCCACTGCCACGACTCCCCCAGGGCTGTTTCTGCGTTGCCATTGCATAATTACAATATTTCTGCTTTTCAAGAACCATAAAAAATGTATGGGACCAATGTAACAATAATAATGCATTGAAAACATTTCTTATCACGTCTAGGTACGTTTATGAAATGGACAGGCCAGAAAGTCCAGAACATAGCCTAAACTAAACTAGCCCGACCTTACCTAACTTAACCTAATGTAACCTAACCTAGCCTAGCCTAACAACTTAACCTAATGTAACCTAACCTAATGCAACCTAACCTAAACCTAAACCTAACCTAACCCCCACCCTATCCCTGCAACCCAGTGTCACATTGGCATCCATGTTCCATCCCATATATACGTACCGTATTAAGAAGTTTTGTTTAACTGCGTTATTCTCATTTTGCTTTTCATTCCCACGCAAAATGTCATATTTCCCCACCATGTTGACTAATCTACAAACAATATGGAAGACTGCTTGGACATGCAAGAAACACATTTTATTGAATTCTTGTTACCTTAGCCTCATACATTTTTATGGTTCTTAGTGTGCAGTAATGTTGTGATCACCCAGTAATGTTGCGATCATGTGTAGAAATGGCGCCAGGGTTGTGGTTGCTGCGTATTTGTGTTCAGATGTTTGATGGTAGTTATTTAAGTTCCAAGGTAAGAGCTTAGATGACCTGTTTTATGACTAATTGCAATATGATCTGCCTTAAAAACAATGATTGATGTACCATGCTCTTTCTTAATATGAGGTAGGAATGTATACCCTGACCATTTCAGGTAATGAAAAGGGCTTGTTAGCTCACAACAATTTTGCTGAGTTTTGCATGCCACCCTGTACTAAGTAAGGAAGACCAGATGTTTTTTCTGCAGCATATCTTAGCAAATGTGCTTAACCAAATATTCATTTCATGGTATTGGGATTTGTGGTTGGCTGCCTGCAAATTGAGGGATAGATGCATGGTCAGTTTGTATGCTGGCACCACAGAACCATACCCATGAATGTGCTGTTTGCTATGGTGCAGCCTAGTTTACACAATGTTTGAATAAATTTCACTACTGAAGGTCTGAACATTTTTCTACTCATCCACTCACATATGTGTCACAAGACTTCCTTAGCATGGGTAGTCTGAAGTGAGGTTATGGAGTGCAGATGCAAGTTGTCACATAGAGGTTATGCAGTTTGTTGTGATTGAAAGCATGCCTAAATTTCAGTTCACTTCACAATGTAGATGAATGACCTATATACCAGTTAATGGAACTGGCTCCAGAAACTGCCAGGGCACTGCTTGCAGACATGTTGGCTGTGGCCTATTTTCATTGCTTTTCTCACCAACTGCCAGTGGTATACTGCTAGTCATTTTGGGTCTGGGTGTGCTGTAGGCTCTCTGCCTATGCATGGCAAACTTAGAGAAGAGCTAATTTTGGTTGGATTCTGAACTTGTAGTGGTAGTAGTATTAGTAACTAGGGCTTTCATGCGGTTAGGTGCCCAAAAGCCCAGTTAGTACTACTTCTGCTACAATTTTGGCATCCATCAAGCATTAATAGGGCCATGGACTGCAGGACTTGAACTTAAAGTTTCTGGAGAGTGTTAGCAACCAGGCCATGATTAATGAATTCGCCAACAGCGATGTTCACCTTGTTATGCTTGATATGATCTCCAAATAGGTGCCTAAGGAAATATTCCACATTTATATGAGGTTTTTGACTGAAATAGCCACCTCAAAAACCATTTATTGCTGTTCACAATCCTGCCCTTTTTAAGACCCAGGTCCCTCTAGTTTCTGAGCCACATGCCCACAAAAGTTGGGAAAGATATGTCAGGAAGAGTATTTCAAAGTCATCTCAGTGCTCATGACATAATATCATTGAAATCCTGTGATTCTGTGAGCCATGCAGTGATCAAGGCTGAGAAGAGTAATATAACATATTGTTGCTGGTGCAATTTTTAGATGTAACATTATTTCTAGATGAAATGGCCTTCAATTGTCTCAATCAGTTTGTGCAAAGCATGATGATGTCATCAAGCCATTACACATTGAAAAACATGTTTATTAAACAGAGAATTGTGCCATCCAGAGCAGTGTCTTGCACTTGAGAATATGCCAATTGGTATAATTTAGCTTGTTTCATCATATCTGATGCTTGCTTCAATATCTCCATATGTGAAACATTCTCTTTAGACTCTACCACTGCAATAGCAGAAGTGCAGTGAAGGCTCTCATCATGTTAAAGCCCTGTAAACTTAAAATAGCTATGGCTGCTAATGCCTTTGCTGTTTGTTTGTACACATAATGCTAATGTCTTTGCTTTGCCGTATGTTTCTGAAGATAACTGTTCTGGTTGGGAGCCTGCAGCATATGAACCAAGATCAGCTACTTGTCCAGCTACTGACATGCTGAGTATCTAGTAGAAAATCACACCTTTTGAACCAGTGCAAGGAAATTAGAGAGTTAGTGTAAATGTTATGAACATGGGTGCATAATTTAGATTTCAGAACAGAGGCCAAGATTGTAGTCAAGGTAAGTTGAGGTATGTCATGGTAAAAAAGCTTATGCAAGGTGTGGACAGCATTTCATTTACTTCATGCATGGAATGTACCATTGATCTGCTGGTGGCAAACCAATAAGTCTTGTAAATGAAAACATGCTTGGGATAGCTGTGGTTAAAAACTCCATTGGTAGAATTTGGCAGAGGGGACCATGCCAGGTGGAAAAGTGGTCTGTTACTGAATAATTGAGGAAAGCTGGGCTTAGTGTTTGACTGAGGTCATCTAGAGATGTGGCTCTAGTCAGGCCTCGATCCTCTATAGGAATGCAGGGATAATTTACCTGCCATCATAGTCTGGCTTACATGTTGACTTTGATTTCAAGAAAGTGTAGCAAAAGGGGGCTAACAATGCTAGTGGGAGATGGGTTTGTTGCATACATTTCACTTGACATGTTGTTTCTTGACAGAACATTATGACCTTAACAGGATGTGGTATGCTGACCTTTCTGCTGCCAAGCTCATGTACCCATTTCTGTTCTCAGGTCTTGAAAGATTTTACATGCACTGCATTGCATTGTGTGCCGGTCTTTACCCTATGCTTTGCCACAAATCTTGAGTAATTTTTTGCTTACATTGATTGTCAGAATTGTGTACATGGGAGTAGTTGTGAAGACAGTCCCCTGCGAACTGGGGTACAGACGCATTTTCGCCACGGCTCAGAACAGGCTTATGAACACATTACTTAAAGAAAACCCCCTGGCATAATTTGTGAAATGCAAGGAAAGATAATGGCACGATCTCTGTCTGCATAGGTCGGCGGTTGAACTATTCCTACAGGCACTGGTCCCATTTTTTCTAGGAGGGGCGCCACCCTTTCATGCATATATATATATATATATATATATATATATATATATATATATATATCCTGCGATGTTGACGGCCTCGCCTCCTGGGCTTTCGTACAGCACTGGCCGTTCTGAAACGAGAGGACAGGCGGGAACGAACGCCACTGTGTGGCCTATGGGGTAGCCACTGACTGTCGATCCCACGTGGGTTGACTGCAGCGCTGTTGACGTGCCTGACGTCGACATCGCTAACGTTTTGTGAGCTTTCTTTAGCTGTCATACTGCAAGTTGTGTGTTCCTCACTGTATAACGTTTGTAACCGGAGGTTTTAGCACAGCAGACAAGGTGACAACATAAGGGCGACTCAGGACACGCTCAGACTGGGAGTGAAATGACCTCTGAAGCTGAAGCGCTTGTGAAACTGAAGTATAACAATACTGAAGTGGCCAGGTCTGGGTTGTCAAGCTACACTGGTGTTTGAACTGCTCGAGAAAATGATGATATAGTTGTCAGGCAGGTTCTTTTGTCACAGCTGAGGCAGGTGCCCCCACACCTCCTCATAATCTGCCATCCTGCCTGGCATTTCAATATGGGGTGCAGTTGGTGAAACTACTCCCTGATTTTCGCAAATGGTTGCAACTTCTCAGTGCAGATTTCAGGCTGAGTGAAAATCCCTTTGTGATATTGTGTTATGATGTTCACATGTGATTTAGTGATAATCATACTTCACAGACACTCATCATTTGACATGCACATGGTGTTTGCTCTTTTGTTTTCCGTGCATAAATGCACTGCAGCCAAAAAGGGAAAGTGGGCATTTTTGTGCAGCATATGGTATGGTTATAGCGTCCCACCAATGAGTATCCCTGCAGGATTCCAGCGATCAGCATATGGTGGCGCCACCTATACACGGTGGTTCGTTGGGCGACCCTCAGAGTGCAGCATTACTCGTTCCAGTGACGTGTCTTCTGGATCTTGTATACAATCATGAAGCATGAATGAAATTCAGGCATGCATACATATGTCTGAATTTCGAGTGTTTGGGGAATGTTTTGGGACCTGATTGAAGGGATGGGGAACCTCGTAATTGCCTCGCTCAATTTCCGTCTTGCCAACGCAGCTGTAACACACCGAAACTTACTTTGCTTATCATGGACGGCGAAACGCCGACATTTCCGCATTGCCACATATTCTAGTGTCCACAAATCATCTTAAGCCCGTACACGCTTAACCCGTGTTGGGTCGGTCGTCCAGTGGTGCCCAACTGCTTAGCGGTCCGATGACGCGTGCGTCGAGCCGGGTTTCCGGGCGCCGCCAGGCCGTCGTGCCTGGCTTCGTCGGATGCGCTGGGCGCTTGGATAAAAGCAGCAGGGGTGTCAAGTTCTATTTCATTCGGAAACGAGAAATAAAAGTCGAGGAGCTTCTAGGGATGCCACTCACCCGTAAAGGCACTGGTGGCTCAGACTGCTGTCAGTGCGAGGGGCAAGGGAAGGGTGGGACGGGGATCACAACCCCACGGCGCCATACCACCCCTGTAAGAAGCATGTGACAGATTGCTTTGCGGGCATGACTTTGGTATTATTCTCTCAATAGCAAGGCTTGTTACGAAGGGCCTGACGCCACCACCCCAGTGCAGCAAGTGGCAGGTGATCGCGTTACCCTTGCCGAAATTTTTGCGCTTAGTGTGTAATCTCATGACCTGTACCGAGCAGCCTTCCAGCCCTCGGCCACACACCGTCGTAGACGAATCACATAAGCGCGTTTCTGGGATGCAAGCCATTTGGCTGCTTTGCTAGTGGCGTAAGATGTGAGACACGGTATATTGTGTGTGTGGGGAGGGGGGGGGGGAAGAGTAACCCTATTTTCCAGCCAATGCTTTTGTGCACCGCTGTATAGGTAGTGCTTGCATCGCGAACAGTGACGTATGGGTGCCCGTGCCCCGCCCTCAGTTCCTCGATACATGTGCCCTATAGTGTCCGGGAGGCCGACACTTTACCACCATGAGTCACGGTGGCGGTTAATAAAAAAAAAGATAAAAAGCAGTGCACAGGGTGAAAGCATGCATAGGTCTATTTCGATGTTATATCGTTCAGCAATTCCAGAGAGGGCCTCCTATCGGTAACTGTATATATTTCGATGCGGTATGGAACATTTTATTTCGGCTGTCTCTGGGAGCACCCTTTTCACTAAACTGGCATTCACATTTTTCAAAAAGATTTAACCCGAGTCTTTTGAATGGATGGATTTCTGTGATCAAACCCCACGCTAAGCACCGCTTGTTGTATGAGCCCGACCCCTACCATCCGACGGGGTAATTCCGTGCCAACGGCAGGATTGGTGGCGAAAGTTTAACGTGCCGCAATGCTCGGCACGGTCCGTCCTGCCCTCTGACGTCAACTGACCTTTAGCGAGGTCGCTGCCGCCGGCCGCAGGCCACACATGTCAAGGACATTCGTATATATTCAAGAATACTGCACATAACTCCAACTGTTTGCGTGTTACTGTTAACGTAGCAGCTCAAATGTGAGCTGGTATAAATAAGTTGCCAGTTGTGGCAGGTAAATTACTTTATCACTCCCGATTACCTTATGAATTTTACGGTGTGCAAACACGTCCTGGTTTTCAAAAAAAATGTTTATGTGAAGAAAGTCGAGCTGTTTTTGCGTGCCATCATTATTGTTGGTAAATGCTGACACTCCACGCTTTGCCCCGAAGAAACAAAGCTGGTGTTATGGATAGCGTATTTGTACCACCATGATGTTCTTGCCAAAAATATATTACCCAAAGATGGACGAGCAGTACCCGTGCCCCCCCCCCCCCCCCTCCCCATCCCGTCTTGGTTCGATAATTATGTGTCAAATGCATAAACGCTACACTCTGCTCGAAGACATAAACGGAGCGGTATTGCGGTAGAAGACAGACATCCGAGATAATAGATATATGAAAGAAAGGCTCCTGGTTGGAATTACAACTGCAAAGTTGTCATGCCGAAATTACGATACAAATAATACTGCGCAAGTAATTACTCGTCCAGGCATGCATATGCGGAGTCCGTGCGGGCGACTTGGTGTGCAGGCGGGCGCGGCGCGGCGGGTCAGACGCCTGAGCCCGCGGCGCGGACACCCAGCCAGCCGCCCCGCCCCTCTCAAAGTCGCCGCTGCAGGGGTCGGCCGGGATCCCCTGTCATCGCCCTGCACAAACTTGGGAGATGAGATGTTCTGAACACGCGCTGTGACGTTCCAGAACCAGAATGTTCCAGACTTCCTGCGAGGCCTGCCCTGCCGCGACTCGAAGAACTTCTCCAAGTTCTCGGCCGACAGCGGGCCCAAGGCGTCGGGCAAGAAGGCGCCGATTTACATGCCGACTACCGACCATCCTTCCGCGCAAGGTCAGCCTCTCCTGCCCAGCAGCTGTCAGACCGGCCGAACGATTAACACGCCTTGTGTGGCCGGCTTTCATTACAACGCCTATCCGTCCTTTCGCATAGAGTTTTGTCAGGTGGGTACTTCCCACCGGCTGTCTTGACGGCCGCGGCCTCACCGCATTTGAGACGACGTTGGCCTATCCGCTCCGCCGCTGGTGTTGCCGCTGTGTCGGTCCGGGCCCCCTGCTGACTCGCCGCCTCCGCGGTCGCCGCTGATGAGACCCGTCGTGTCTGGCCGGGCCCCCTGCTGACACGCAGCTAGTATGACCCGCCGGGTCTGATGTGGCCCCTGCTGACCGGCCGCCTCCTTGGCCGCCGCTGGTGTGACCCGCCGGGTCTTGCCGGGCCCCTGCTGATCCACAGCTGGTGTAACCCGCCGGGTCTAGTCGGGCCCCTGCTGGCCGGCCGCCTCCTTGGCCGCCGCTGGTGTGACCCGCCGGGTCTGGCCGGCCCCCCTGCTGACCCGCCTCTGGTGTGACCCGCCGGGTCTGGCCGGGCCTCTCCGTGGCCGCCGCTGGTGTGACCCACCGGGCCTGGCCGGGCCCCTGCTGACCCGCCTCTGGTGTGACCCACCGTGCCTGGCCGGGCCCCTGCTGACCCGCCTCTGGTGTGCCCCACCGTGCCTGGTCGGGCCCCTGCTGACCCGCCTCTGGTGTGACCCGCCGGGCCTGGCCGGGCCCCTGCTGGCCCGCCTCTGGTGTGACCCACCGTGCCTGGCCGGGCCCCTGCTGACCCGTCGCCTCCGCGGCCGCCGGCGGGCGGTCAGCGGACGCCGACCCTGACATTTAGTCGTGCGGGGCGGCCGCGGCCGCTGTTATTGAATTGCTCGGCGGCAGCGGCAGCTGAGGCTCGGGAGTGGGTCGGCCCGGGGCTCGGCGGTGCGGTCATGAGATCGACCCGCCGTAGACGGACCGGCGGCGCGGCCGGATCACACACACTCACCCACACCCACACACGCACAGGCGGGGGCGCCTCCCTTACGTCTCCCACCTGCGGTGACATGCCAGCATGTTTGCTCATCTGGCCCTGGCGCATACCACGGCACTGTTCGAACGCATTGTTGGCCTCGACAAATGTCTGCATTTTCAGGCGCCAGTGTCGCTTGCGCATATCGACCAATTGTAAGGCAGCCTCGTAACTGATGAGAACTGTGGGCGTATCCATGAGGCTTTCGCTGGCGGTGTAGCCTCCTGATATAGTATTGACGAAAATAGAACAGCACGGCCCACGTACGTCACTCCAAGCATGCTACATCACCAAGTTAAGCAAATGTCATCGGAAATGAGCACGCCGTTGGCTTTTGGTCAGAGTTTAGCTACTTTGTGTAATTCTTGGCAGTGATGATATATTTCCCCCATTAGCCAGTTTCTCTAATCGGTCGATCGCCTGTGACGCGGCAGCCCAGGTTCAGACTACGAACGCGGCTAAATCGAGAGGTTTGGATTACACGTATTGAGCAAAAGCATAGGCAGAAAGTTCCCGGCGGCTTTCAGTGTTCACCACACCGAATGGGGAACTCTGAACGCATGTAACCAAACGTCGTTGCTCAAAAGGCTTGTCAAGCTACCCAAAATCTCAGGGTACGGGTTTTAAAGTTCCGAGACGACGTGTGTATGTTCACTCTCGGGAGGAATTACGGCTATGCAACAATGCTTGCATCCTGAGTTCCGCGCGCTGTCTTGCCGCAGCTAAAATGAATAAGTTATGATTTGTTGCCCCGCGCCGCATGACCGCGGATGAGGCGACCATGTGATCATCTAGTGGTGTGCACGTTTTCCGTCACGGCCTATTGCCAAGCTGTTCGTAAAACCAGCCACGAAAGCATAATTTCGGTTTGCCTTCATATATCATGCCATATCCGTGGGCAGGTATGCCATGGGCATACATAGGCAGGCAGGTATGCCATATCCGAGGTCGCAAGAGACCTTATATGCTGCGTTCTTCCGCATGCATCTTTCTTTCAGCCGATCGACACACGTCTGGCGAACCGTTATCCCACCTGGACGCGCTGTGCTCCTGGGGATGATCGAACTGACATAAACCTTAGACTAACACCACCAGTGCACGCTACCCCAAGGCCGTGCACACCACGCGATGATACGGCGGCATTCACCTGTTTGCGCATCTTGCCTTTCATAAACGGGACTTTCACGTAAACAATTTGTTTGTTTTACCTTTCTGCGACTTTATGGCGAACCTGATGTGTTTTTAAATGAGGGCGCGCGCAGGACTTTACCATTGGGGGTGGGGGGGGGGGGATGGTGAGGGACACAGCTGAAGACGAGAACCCAACTGAGTGTGTTGCAGGCGCGCGCGATTTCTTGTGTCGTAAAGCAGCATCGCATGCTCTCGATCTTTTTGCTGTTACGTTTTCGGGTCATGTTTTGCTGTCAAAATTTAGTCGCGAACGTATTAATATACGCCTAGATTTGGTAGGGTGGGGGGGGAGGGGGGGGGGGGGGCGTGCCGTCAGGAGCTACCATTTTCGTGCGCCCACAGCTAAGATCGAGGACGTTATGACGATGCACATGCCGCGGACCTCAGTCGGTGTCCCGGGTGTTCACTCTCAGATTTAAGAAGTGGTACGCTAACGACACTCACACGGATGGGGATCAGGGGACGCATATACCATTCTCGTGCGGTGTACGGACTGCCTTCTTGATGGTCGCGGGAATGTGCCGAATTATAGCGTAATATGATAGAGGCACCCATGCATGTAAGGTAAAGTTCGGCGTTATATTTTCCGACTGATTGCACCACGAAGAGGTCGTCGCATTTTGTTTGGTGTGTTCCAGCGTGAAGGGAGTACTGGCGTTTTGTTCAATGATTTTTTGGAAGGATTCTGGCGAAGAACATAAGAAAGTCATTCCAGCGACCCTTTCTAGTCACCAGTCTCCACCTGCTCTGTCCTTTCAGCTGTCAACATGTCTGATAAGTCTGTGCGAGTCCAGTTGCACCCTTAGGTGTAGGGTCTTCCGGGCAGCGCGTATGAAGCATTTGCCGTGAGCTCTCAACAGAGACTGTATCATGTACGCACTCTAATCTGCACGTGTCAGGTCATGCTTTTTCTGGTATTTTGTTTTATACGCCATATTATTTTTTGTTGTGGCATATTTTCTCTTATGTATTGTCATTTTGCGCCTCGTGCCGCCTTCTATGAAGGGTAAACGAAACCTGTTCCCGTTGATCATATCGAACTGTCTCACTAAGATGTTTTCTGTGGTACCCAATTATAAGTTTCTCACTAAGCGGCACTTTCACCTGGGTTTGAAATGAGAAGTCACTCTTCCGCAAGGCAATATTTTATCGGCCGATATAATGAATTAATCGTTCAGAACAGAAACGTAAATCTAAGTGACCGAAATCAAGGGAGAGATCAGGTTTTGGGGGTAGTTTAGGTTGATATTATCATCGGAGACCCCAACCGATTTTACAAAGCGGCACCCTGCCTGTAAGTGTTAAGTTGAGCGTGAGTTTTCAGGCGGCGGGAGTTATTTATGTATAAACCCAATGGCTGCACTCGATGTGATGCGACGAAAACGCGTCGAAGGGTCTTCACTGAAGCATGAAAAGCGATGGACATTGATAAACCACGCTCTCAATCAACCTCGGCGTTCGGCTCGGCCGTTGCACTCGACCGCAACGACTACGACCGCGCCATGCCCTCATTCAATTCGCAATGCCAGTAAAGAAGCGACGGCGCGTGACAAGCGGGATTGAAATACCGCGCGTTCGGGGGCCATTGGCACCGGATCGCCATCGCCTCATCGACGAACAATCGAGCGTCGTTGCCGGCAGATTGCGGCGGCCGGTCCCGGCGGCGTGACGAACGCGCTTTAATCAGGCCGCGGCAGCACATGGCCGAACGCGGCCGAGCGCGGCCGAACGCGGCCGAACGGGGTGGGCCGGCCGGTAGGGGCGGCGCGTGTGTGGCACCCGGCCGCGCTCACGATCGTCCATAGTCTTGGTAACGCAGATGGAACGGGCGGCCAGGGCGTCCCACGGTGGGCTGTGATTCGGGCCGGACGGGCCGCGCTGCTGCCGCCGACAGTCCGCGTGCAGAGGTGGCATGTGGGCGATCCATGAGAGCCCGCGTGCAGAGGTGGCGTGCGGGCGATCTGTGAGAGCCCACGTGCGGAGGTGGCGTGTGGGCGATCCGTGATGGCCCGCGTGCAGAGGTGGCGTGCGGGCGATTCGTGAGAGCCCGCGTGCAGAGGTGGCGTATGGGCGATCCGTGAGAGCCCGCGTGCAGAGGTGGCGTGCGGGCGATCCGTGAGAGCCCGCGTGCAGAGGTGGCGTGTGGGCGATCCGTGGGAGCCCGCGTGCAGAGACGGCTTATGGGTGATAAGCTCGCTGTGGACCGGCAGCAATCGGGGCCGTAGTTTTACGCAATGTCGGCCTGTCGTGCGTGGTGCCGGAGGGTCGTAAAATGTTGGCTCTGGGCGGGTGATCTGCAGATCACGATTGTGAGGGTTTGTGACCAGGCATTGTTGCGACCAGCTTGTACCGGTCTGCACCCACACCTTACGATGCGTTTTTCCCTTTAAGGTAATCGGTCGTATGGGGTCAGAGCAAACAAGAATCAACACCACCGAATGACTTTTGCGTCTGGCAAGAATATTGTAGGTCATGAGGTAGAGAGCTTTACGCGGGCGGATGTCCTGCGACATGTGTAAACCCGTTTGTCCGTAACCTGCGAGCGTTGAGGCATCGAAACGATCCGTCCGAATTTTGAAAATAACTTTCGAACCGGGCCAGATACGTTCGCTAGATCTTTAAAGCCTGACAGGCGATCTGTTTAGCACATTCTGGATGAAAAAAGTTGTCGACGCTAGGTCAAATTTTTGACTTGTTGCGTCGTTACATGTGGCTTGCACTGAAATTTTACCTCAACGTGTACTGGCCGTACGTTCCCTCCTCGCTTCGAGTTTCTCCGACGAAATTCACTGAACATTTTGGCCGTC